TGGAGATGATTGGAAGATCTCAAAGGGCGCAATGACGATTGCCTGAGGCAGGAAGATTGGTACCCTATATATGACAGCAGGTGCATGTTGTTCGATCTCAGTCACAGCAGGCAATGAAACTTCAAGCTGTGGCACCAGAGACTCGGTCATATGAGTGAGAAGGGGATGAAAATCATGCACACAAAGGGGAAACTCCCAGGACTGCAGTCAGTGGAGATGGATATGTGTGAAGAATGCATACTCGGAAAGCAGAAGAGAGTCAGCTTTCAGACAAGTGGCAGAACCCCCAGGAAAGAGAAGCTAAAGCTCGTTCACTCAGATGTGTGGGGACCAACAACCACCACGTCCATTGGTGGAAAACACTACTTCGTGACTTTTATCGATGATCACTCTCGGAAAGTGTGGGTCTACTTTCTGAAGCATAAGTCAGAAGTATTTGAGGCTTTCAGGAGATGGAAAGCTATGGTCGAGAATGAGACCGGTCTGAGAATAAAGAAGCTCAGGACCGACAATGGCGGTGAGTATGAAGACACCGGATTCAAGAAGTTCTGCTATGAGCACAGGATCAGAATGGAGAGAACCGTGCCGACACGCCTCAGCAAAATGGTGTAGCTGAGCGGATGAATCGAACGTTGACAGAGAGAGCCAGAAGCATTCGTGTACAGTCAGGCCTACCGAAGCAGTTCTGGGCAGAAGCGGTCAACACAGCAGCTTACTTGATCAACCGAGGTCCATCGGTTCCATTGGATCATAGAATACCAGAGGAGGTATGGTACGGAAAGGAGGTAAAACTCTCACATCTTAAAGTTTTCGGTTATGTAGCTTACGTGCATATTAGTGATCAATGCAGGAATAAGCTTGATCCCAAGTCAAAGAAATGCACTTTCATCGGCTATGGTGAAGATGAGTTCGGCTACCGCATTTGGGACAACGAAAACAAGAAAGTGATCCGCAGTAGAGATGTGATATTCAACGAGAAGGTGATGTACAAGGACATGCACAAGACAAATGACTCAGAGAGCGAGTCAATATTTGTAGATGCAGATGATGTCCCGAGTAACCTCTCGGAAGAACCCAATGCAGAGGATCCTCAGCCAGAAGAGCCTGTTGGACAAGATGGTGCACAGGAGCCCGACACACCAGCTCCGATATTAAGAAGATCTTCTCGTCCTCCTGTACCCAACAGGAGATATATGAACAATCTGTTGTTAATAGATGGTGGGGAGCCTGAAAGCTTTGATGAAGCTTGTCAGTGTGGAGATGCGAGCAAGTGGGAGCTTGCAATGAAAGATGAGATGAAGTCTCTCATATCAAACCAGACGTGGGAACTAGCTGAGTTGCCCACGGGTAAGAAGGCACTTCACAATAAATGGGTGTACCGGGTGAAAGAGGAGCAGGATGATTCCAGAAGATATAAAGCCCGACTGGTTGTCAAAGGTTTCCAGCAGAAGGAAGGAATTGACTACACCAATATTTTTGCTCCCGTGGTGAAGCTAAATACTATCAGGACCGTGATGAGTATTGTAGCAATTAAAGATCTTCATCTCGAGCAGTTAGACATGAAGACGTCGTTTCTTCACGGAGATCTAGAAGAGGAGATATACATGCACCAGCCAGAAGGTTTCTCAGAAGAAAAGAAGAAGAACCTGGTGTGCAGACTCAAGAAAAGCTTGTATGGCCTGAAACAAGCCCCAAGGCAGTGGTACAAGAAGTTCGACGTCTTCATGCACAAGGAAGGTTTCCATAAGTGCAACACCAACCACTGTTGATACTTCAAAAGATATCAGTCCAGTTATATCTTTCTAGTGCTGTATGTTGATGATATGTTGGTTGCAGGAGCAGATATGAAGGATATCAGGAGTTTGAAGCAACAGCTGTCAAAGGAGTTTGACATGAAGGACTTGGGTCCAGCAAAGAAAGGATATCAGGAGTTTGAAGCAACAGCTGTCAAAGGAGTTTGACATGAAGGACTTGGGTCCAGCAAAGAAGATCCTTGGAATGCAAATCACGTTGACATGAAGGACTTGGGTCCAGCAAAGAAGATCCTTGGAATGCAAATCACGAGAGATAAGAAGAGAGGACTCTTGCAGTTATCTCAGGCGGAGTACGTCAACCGTGTTTTGCAGAGATTCAACATGGGCGACGCTAAGCCAGTGAGCACACGCTTGACCAGCCATTTTCACCTATCGAAGGATCAGTCTCCTCAGTCAGAAGAAGAGAAAGAGAGTATGGCTCAGGTTCCTTACGCCTCAGCTATCGAAAGTTTGATGTACGCAATGGTTTGTACGAGACCAGACATTGGCCATGTAGTTGGAGTGGTCAGCTGGTTTATGTCGATTCTAGGAAACGCTCATTGGGAAGCAGTCAAGTGGATTCTGAGGTATCTACGAGGCACCACACAGAAGTGTTTGCACTTTGGTAAGGAAGAGGTAGAAGTGCAAGGGTACGTAGATGCAGACTTCGGCGGTGAAGTTGATCACCGAAGAAGCACCACTGGCTATGTATTCACTGTCGGAACTACAGCTGTTAGTTGGATGTCACATATACAGAAGATTGTCACTCTGTCCACTACAGAAGCTGAGTATGTTGCAGTGACTGAAGCCAATAAAGAGATGATATGGCTTCAGGGTTTGTTAACAGAGCTGGGATTCAAACAGGAGAAGAATGTTCTGCACAGCGATAGTCAGAGTGCGATTCACTTGGCTAAGAATTCCGCATTTCATTCTAGAACAAAGCATATTGTGCTTCGGTACCACTTCATCAGATCCCTGTTGGAAGATGACGTGTTGAAACTGGAGAATATTCCAAGAAGTAAGAATCCAGCAGATATGTTAACAAAGATGGTGACCGTTTAGAAACTAGAGTTGTGCGCAACTTCAGTTGGCCTTCATGCATAGATGATGAGGGAGGAGCCACACAGGAGGAGGAGCTTGATGAGATAGCCTACTGGCGGCGGTTTGATCTCCAAGTGGGAGATTGTTGAGATCAGGTGAAGACCAAACCTCCGCAGGCGAGCTCGATGTTGAGGCGGATCAGAGGCGAGCTCAAGGCAAGTTCGAGATCAGCGGCTTCAGGCGGATCCATCGCAGGCGAGCTCGAGATCCAGAGCAGCAGACGAACGTGAGCTCCAGGCGACATCTCGATGCAGGCGAAGTTGGGGGGCGGAAATAATCTATAGGCGAGTTCGAGACTTCTTGTAGGCGAGATCGACGCAGGCGAAATCGGTGGACAGGCGAGTTTGAGCGCTTGATCCAGGCTGTCGACAGTCAATCGACAGCTCAGCTAGGGTTTCCCTATAAAAGGGAAACCCCAAACCCGAAACCCTAGGCCGCTCAACCCCTTTTCTCACGATCTCAAATCTCCTGGCGGCGGACTCAAAACGCAGCAGCGTTT